ATATTTTTTAGGCACCAAAGAGTTTCTTCTTCATTGTTCTAGATCTTCTATGGTCAGTAAAACTATTTCTTCGGAAGAATAATTTGAACTAATATACGTGGCAGAAAATGAAGAGAAAACCTCGTTTAGACAAATAACAAATTTTCTTCTGTCTCGGAAGAATAATTTGAACTTCATTTTCTTCTGTTTCGTTTTTCTTCAGCATGTGTTTTCTGAAAATTCAACATGGAACAAAAACAAAAGACTTCAACCAAGATTTGTATCACGAAATTCCAAAAAGATAACCATCACATTCACACCAATATCTTGGAAAACTGAACTTTTGTTTTTGTAACTAAATTAACTTTTCTTCTTATAAGGATTTGGCTGAATTAGTCAAAATTAATTAAGACTATATTTGTGGGGTCTCCTCTCGGGCCTCAGGTCCCACCAACCAGGCTCCACTCATCTGGATATCCTCACCTCTACAAGTGAGTTTCTTTCGCCTTTCTCATCTCTCGAACACAAGATCTGCAGGTTAAGTACTTGTGACAAGAGAGATGAGTACCATCAAGCTAGAGGAAGGCTAAAGAAACCCACTTGCAGGGGTGGAGATATCCAGATGAGTTGGACTCAATTGGCAAAACCAGAGGCCCGAGAGAGGCCCCACAATAAAAGCTAGCATGATGGTACTCATCTCTCTTGTCACAAGTATTTAGCCTGCAGGTCTTATGTTCGAAAGGTGGGGAAGGCGAAAGAAACCCACTTGCAAGGATAGGGATATCCAGATGAGTGGGGCCCGGTTGGCAAGACCAGAGGCCCGAGAGAGGACCCCACAATATTTTAGAAATTTGTTTAATATTAAATTAAAGCGATTGACAAGGTGGCAAGCTGGTCGAGAACAAGTTTAATACAAATTCAATTATTGAATTTAGCTTCATACATATATATATATAAATTTGATATTTTCCAATGATAAGACCGAATAGAACAACTCTTTATAAGGTGGTGTCACGGGCCTAGACTTTCAATGCGGCGGAACGTTTCCCAACATCATACATGAGAAGTGGTAAGGCTACACGTCCGCTATTTATCGATTTAAGGTCTATTAGTTTTGTCTTGCCATGAATTCATCGAGGAAGCGGCTTCCACTCCTAACTAGTTCGTGCAAAGATAGTCGAATCACTTCTTCATTGTCAACTATAAATGAATAACTCCTAACGGCTCATGCACTCCCCTTTCGTGAAGCACCTCTCTTCTAAAGAGTTTTATGAAACATTGTCAATGTGTCAGGAGAAAACACACCTGACATCTCAACTGTCATATCTTATGTTAATGCTTCGCGAAACCTTTCAACCTCGTACACTCTCCACACTTGCTACTCTTATCATAACATTGCGGAATAAGGTCGTGACACTCACCCATACTCATTTGTATGCACGCTCTCGCGTATGTCATTCTTGCAAACGCCTGTCAGACAATTGTCAAAGTTTTCGGACACAACCCGATAGCCTAAGGGACACCAATTACCTCTAGTCGGACACAACCCGATAGCCTAAGGGACACCAATTACCTCTAGGGGGCGACTCTGTGTCATGTCGAAACATTACAAACTCATTTAAAGCCAGCATTTTATAAGAATAACCACCATCAACACTTAAATATTCTTAATTAGTAAGAAGAGTAAGGTTGTGTTTCTTTTTTTTTTTTTTTCATTTTAACAATACTTAATGGAATATTGTTTCACCTAATACTTAAAAATTTTAAAAGATGCATTCTTTGTTAGTTAGTTTATTTTTTTATTTTTTTTTTATTTTTATTTTTTTTTAAATTAATGATATCTATATAAAACTTTCTAAATTTAAATATTATTAATATATCCTCATATTAATTACAATTAACTTGTATACTGTATTATACCCTTAAAATTATATGATTATTAATTTCATTAAGATCTAAATTAGGTATTGTAATTAAAAATATAAAAATCTAATTTAGAAAATGGTTAACAGGTCGTCGATTGCCTATTCACACGATCAGAATTTTTTTCTAGGCCGAACGATTACAACCTATACAAGGTTTTCGTAATGACAAATTGGTATCCAAAAGGTTTGGAAATGACAACTGGTATTTCCGTCAGTGCTGTTTGGATTTCGTTTGCAAAAAAGGATAAACCAGTAATTTAATGTGCATCACCAAACTTATTTGAGAAATATTAGTCTTTTTTAATTACTTTTAGATCCTCTTAAGTTTAGTAATTTCATCAACTACCCCCAGAAAAAAGTTTTTTAAAAATAACAAAACCACCCTTACACACCCCATCTTCCCAAATTTGCGGCAACCAGCCTCGCCGGTGTAGCCGGAATCTGTCACAACAATCTACATCCCATAATGGAATGGCGAGGTAATTCACCAACTCCCCCTGGCCTTTGATCCGGCCAGATCTGGCCGTCGTTGTAACCGGTCAATGACGGCCAAAACTTGGCCATAGGACAGACAACGACAACCAAATCATTTGGCTAAACGGCACAAACGATGGAGTTTGCTGGCCGTGTCGCCAGGATGGCCTGCCAAGCGATGCCATACCAAGCATATGTCCGACGGTATGTGTTGTTCACGCAATTTTCAGCTGGAATCGGCACTTCCGGGTGGGGGGTGTTTGTTTTTACAAAAATTTATATATTGGGGTGTTTAGTTATAATTAGCAAACCTAGGGGGTTTTTAAACTTTTTAAAAAACTAAAATACAACAACTTTCAAGGGCATTCTACTCTTTTTACATTAGCCAAACGGAAATCATTAACAGGCACATGACGGAAAGTACCAGTTTTGTTCAAACCATTGTGGGAACCAATTTGTCAGTACGGCAAACCTTGGGGAGGTGGAAGTCGTTTGCCCTTTTCTTCAAAGTTTAAGATTTAATATTGGTATCAAAATGATCATATTTGAATTGCAATGATCATATGCTACTTGAAATGAAATATGACAAGACTTTGCATATGCAGAAACTTAGGTTCTGTCGTGTCACAAGCATCTTTAGATAATCATTCACAAAGCTTTCCTGAAAAATTGATAATTTATACATTGTGACATTGTTAAATGAACGAAATAGAGAACCACAGGAACAAAATAATAAAGTAAAACAAAACAAAAGTAAACAAGAAAATTATATGCGCGATTTACCCTGGTTCACCCAATGGAGCTACGTACAGCTGAGTCAATATTATTGAAATATGCTCACCTCCTCTCGTTTACAATGAATGAACTTCTCTCACCTCATAACAAGAAAAAGGATGTTACCTTACTAGGTTATAGGATGTAAACCAGTTTACATGGATTCTTATTCTTAAGCCCAACCCAAAAAGGAATCTGTAACTAAAAGAAATACTACAGCGGTGATACATGGCAGCCCAAAATCGCAACGAGCATCGGGGGCGTGACACTCCGCGACCCCACGTCGACCATGGGAGAGCGGGGGCACCCGCCGCTAACGGGTAACGGGACTCACGGTGCGCTCTAGTACCCCTGAATTTGTGAATATCACAATCACCATGTTAATTTAAAATTTACACATAGGTATTATTATAATCATAAATACGTTTCACAATCACAGGATATGTAATAATAACCCAAATTAAAATTTATACACCAGTCAAATATTTTTTATATCAAGTTGATATATATGGCAAATTTAAAAGATTAAGCTTATTCCCAATTGAAAATTAAGGAATGATACAGTAAAAGCTACTAAAACATTAAATTCAAACATAAAAATAACATAGAGTGATGTAAAAAAGAAAAAAATATTTATGGCACTTGATTCATCCCCCATATTAGCAGGATGGGTAGGCTCTTATCTAGTTGGTAAAGTTCTAGACGAAGATTAATTAGATACGCAAAATATTAGACACACTTAAAAAAAAAAAAAAAAAAAAGGTTCAACAGAAGAGACTTGTGTGGGAGAAAAATTTCGTGATTGCGGTTTATATAAGTAATCAAAATCAACGTTTAACTTAATCAGCGAGCTGTAATCAAATTGATAATACTGTTGTCCATCATCAACAATAAAGATTAACATAGAAGTCTGACTAAAAAAACTCGTGTTTTGGGCTAGCTAGGACACACAAAATATTACTTCCGCCACTATTGTGATTTTCGTGGTGGAAAGCGAGCAAAAACTTAAATATTATCTTCTTCTTTCAGCTAAAAAGGTTTCTGGTTCCGGGTCTACTTGCCACAACCACAGTTTTTCTGTCTATGGATGTAGACATATCATATATTATTCTCTGTTATTTCTTTATTTTCTTATCTTAATGTTGAATAAGATATTGTAAGAAGTAATCTATGGATGGTTTGGATGCTGTTCAAATAGAGGAAGAAGGACCATCAATTGAGTCTTACATCTGAAGCTCATACTTTTACCCTTTCTGTGAATCTCAATAAATTATGCCAGAAAATCAAACAACAAATTAATATACAATAAATGGAAAACTATAGTTAATTTTCAGGGTGGAAATGGAAAACGAAGTTCCTAGAATGCTTCTCCGCAGAAACCATCCTAGAAAGTTGAACCCGCCCCAGAATTTGTCAGCATCTTGTATCGATTGCTCATTTTCTACTATGTGATTAATTAATTAATTAATTGATTATACATAGAAGAAAAACAGGATTGGTTGTTTAAATTTGTAAGTTTCCAGAAAGTGATAGATATGTTTGAGTAATGAAAATATTTCTTCCAGAGGTGACCTGCAAATTGCTATGCACGCATTTAATTGGGTTTCCGGAAACTTGATGGTGCTGTTGCCAGTTGTTCTTGTTCTGTTTCCTCTGTTCTTCAGCCTTTCCTTAACCTAAATATGTTCACGTATTTTTAGAAGATTGTCATGCATAAACTCTAACTCGGATGCGATATGTTGGTAACTATAATAAAAACTCTTGCTTCTTCTTAAAATATACAAAGGGAGACATTCCCATATATACAAACTACTAAATCTGCAATAATATTGATCAGTAGTAACTTAACTAGGTGATCAACTCTCTACCAACACTGGTCAGTCTCCCAGTTCCGACCAGGTATCCTGAAAATCCGGAAACAGTAGTCACACGGTCTGTTCTCGGAAAAGTTCTGATCATAGACCGCGCGTTTTTCAGGATCCGATAGAGTGCAGTAAGCGCGCATGAATCTGATGAAGGAGTCCGCCGATGAATCCTTACAATCAATTCTTGCAACATCGGGATGGAAGTCCTGGCCAGTCGTCGATATGCGGTTTTAATCTCGTGATTAGATGCTCCCAAGGGTATTCCGAGAATCTCGTAAAATGAGGCAGCGCATGATGCCATGGGGTGAGGAGGACTCCGATATGTGGTCGTCTTGGACCTTGTATTTTCCGTTGAAGTGTATGAATAAGCAGTTGTTGTTGTTGTGGCGGCCGCGACGGTTGAATGAAATCTAAAACGAGGCGATGTTGGAACGGTTGTTTTGGGTTTGACGCAGAGGATCGGGGTTGGGGAGGACAGAAATGAAGAAGAAGAAGAAGAGAGCATGGTTATGTGATTAGGAGAGAAGAGAGGTTCTGGTGTTGATATATATAAACTGAGAGGAGTTAACGGTTTTAACTAGAGTTAAGCTCTTAAAGAGTTAAAAAGAAGGATTTGCTAACGTATAAGGCAAATACATATATTAATATGTTAGTACAGGTGGGAATATTGGTTGGAAAGGTAGTATTTATTGATTTTATTATAATAAAAAAAAAAAAAAAAAAATGGAAGGCTTATCCAATCCATGTAAGGGTTGGGTAGGATGATGGAGTAGTATCAGATTTTAGTTTATCCAGATTGTTGAGTGTATTGTTGAATGTTCTATTTTTTTGTTTTTTTTTTTTTTTTTTTTTTTTTATAAACGATAACTTGATGTCTTAATAGTTCTCAGGACTAAATTAAAAAAAGATAATCTTAGTGACTACTTTATTAGAAAAACAAATCAAAATTTCTTGAATATACCCTAAAAGTCTTTATCAAACACCCAAGCTGGTTAACTTTGCATGTCATTCTAAGAAAATTAATATTGGGAATTCAAGTTGGAATATCACTTTCTCCAATTTAGCTGGGTGCAAGTGTCTGTCATTACAAGTCAGCTGGCCAAAATGAAGGATAAGAACAAAGGAAAGGGTTTCATAGGATACCCATTAACATAACATGAGAAAATCCCTTCATCTCTGGACTATTAGAAGTGGGCGGTTCAATAGCTTAATTAGCCTATAAAAATTTGAGATGAGCAAAAGGGAATGCGCAAAACATGTGTGTCAATATGAATAGGATGAGCACAACCCAATTAAGAATTGGTGAATCCAGATCTGGGAAATGATTGATTAAGTAACAGTTGGAAGAAAGATAGATATCACTGTACATAAATGGCGGACAGTACAAGTGTGATAATGTGATTACATAATTGACGTAATATAGTGCTGACGATCTCCAGTTGCAAGTTGAAGATGTAAGATAAATTTCGAAATGAAATTACATCCAATCAACAATAATCAATCAATCAATCAGAATCCTAAATTCTCGTACAAGTTATAAAATTGAATTAATATTAAATTATAGACAAATTTGTTATATCATTGAAAATTATATAAAAACGATAGAACATGTCTTTTTCATAACATGTAATGTATAAAAATTACGAATGGGTTAAGTTCTCGTTAGAAAAGGAGTCTAACTAATTTTAATATTAGATTAGGTCTCTATTAAAGGCAATTAACCTTTAACTCATTACAAACTACAACACACTTTTCATCAAACAAATTATCAAATGAAGTGTAACGGTCATCTCTAGAATGATCACATTATATCAAAATATCTTCATTAATTATATTACTAGTTTTATTAAAAAATATAATAATGTTAACCCCACAAAGAGATAGTGAATGCAATTGTCTTCAAGAAATACCTGCTTTTATTATATTGGAAAATATATTATACTACTACCACTACAAGCAGAAAATTAATTTCCATCTTTTCAACTTCGCAGCTTAGGAGGAGCAAGAGCCACATGACAACGTCCACTTAATAATTCAATGAATATAAATTAAAATATAATATTTTGGTAGGAAGCCAGTCATATTTAATACGACTTTTCATATTTAGTTTAATAAGCCACAATTTTTAGTTATGTATTTATTTTTACTATTATTTTCTTTTTAAGTGAACCAGATGTCAATGATTCTAAGTAACAAGTCTAAATATTTTTTAAGCAGAACGAGTTAGCAACTTCAATTCTACATGTTACTCAAAGTAAATGAGAACCAAAAGATGTCGAATAGAGTATTATTATACGGTACAAAAACAAAAACGGATTATTATAAATATTCCACATTTATATATAATATCATAAATATAAAACAATAACACAATTCAATTAACACTATGATTTTCACTTGGTTGATAATTTGTGGGTTCAAGCTATCACAATTAAAGATTCTATAGCCAAATAGTTCAACTCCAAAAACTGAATGACTAATGAGATTCAACCAAAATACAAGTATTAACAATGACAAACTCATTGGCTAGCCCAACCTAAACTCACAACTTGTTGGGACCTGATACTACCAATAATTAGCAAAACATGTAATTTTTTTATTATTTTTTTTTTTGGAACAGGGGGTGTTGTGGAAGTGTGTGCACACAGTCACTCGATTAATCCCCGGGGCCCTTAAAGCTTAAGAGCATGGAAAAACTTCATGGGTCCCCTATATTAGCAACTGAGGGAATTAGACTAGACTTTTTAATAATGACACCTAAAAGTCTCTATCACCTTAACGATACCTAGGGGGGTTAAACAACAAACTTTCATAGTTTGATAGACATTCATTGAATTGATATCCATGAGTTTTTAAGTCCAAGAGTTTAGTTCTCAGTAATAGTGTCACACAAGATTAGTTGTGTAGAGCCGCTAGATTCTGAAAAAAAAAATTCACAATTTTCCGTAGTCCCAGTCAGCAAGAAAATCTTAAGAGGGCTCAAAACATATCATGCATCACCAAATGTTTTTTAACACAACTTTCACCTTATCAAAAATAATAAAATAGAAGAATAACATGATACTTGAAGAGTTGAAGGTTCCTGCATAAGGACAATGTAGGTGATAGTGCTTGTATTCTCTTGGAACACCGTCTTTATCCATGTGAAAGAAACGATTGCGTGACGTGGTGAGCAACAGATGATCGATGGCCAATCGAAGTTGGGAATGATGGGGCTTTTGATGGAATAGGTAGGTGATATTATGGTGGTGTCAGGGAGTTATAACAGCATTGGAATTTGCTGGACTTAAGAGGAAGGCCGACGGTCCGACGGGTGAACAATAGGTGACCGCGATACGATGACCAATCAAAGTTGCGGAGAGAGGGCTTTGATGTAAAGGTGACGGCAAATATTATGTGGTAAACGGCATCGAAAATTGCCAGAATTCAAGAAGGAGGTCGAGACTGCCCATGAACAATTGGTGAGACGGCGATCGAGACCAATTCAAAGTTTGAAAATGGCGCTTTTGATGTAAAGGTGCCAATAAACTATGTTGGGTGTCGGGAGTTCTCACACATCGGATTTGTCGGAAACGAAGAAGGCAACATGCTCTGCTGTGAAACAAAAAGGTGGACAGGTGAGCGACGAAAGGCCTAGCAGCAGCCACTGAAATGGATGGGTTTCGTGGAGATGTTGCACAAGTCTGTAATGGTGGTTTAATCTCCCTTAAAACTAGTGCCAAAATCCAGAGGATTGACTCCCACTATTCCGCAATGGTCCAAGCGTGACATCAATCCAGTTTGATGAGATTACCAGGTTTCAGGGGAAACCAAACCGGAGATCACGCATGGGTCCCAGTCGAACTGTGCGACTGGCCGATCATGGTTTTCAGAACATGCTACATATATTGGATATGAAAAAAAAAATAGACATAATATAGTGAAGGAGACCCTTTCGACACTCGCACAAGTCAATTACAATAGGGATGGTGCGGTGGTTTGGGTTGTTTGCAAGAACTTCGAATCTCTTGGGGACATATTTATTTTTAAAAGATACAAATATTGCATTAATCACAATTGCACAACCCTAATTCATTTTAATTAGGCTTAATAAAAAAAACAGGCTATTTAGTTAACATTTACAAACTAATTAGCCTTTTAGTTGAATTTTAACTTCGAAATGGCTTTGTAAGTAAAATCCCCCAAATGCTTGGCATCTATTCACAACTTGGATTAGTCATTATCTACATTAACCCCTATCGGTTTAAAAGCGTAATAAAAAACAAGGCTATTTAGTAACATTTACAAACTATAAGTTGAATAAATTTTAATACTTCAATGGTCTTTTAATATAAATCCCCAACAAAGCTTTGGCCTATCTATTCCAAACCTTGGAGACTTTTCCTTCTTTCTCCTTAATTTTTAGTTCTTTCCAGCCGAGGGAGAGGTGGGGTGAGGTCTCCCGAGACTCCATGTAACTTCTTGATTTTTTATTTTGTTTTTCTCTATTCTTTTTGCATTTCAGAAACCTTTATAGGCTATCTCTAGAGAATCTAAGGCGATTTTGTTCTTGCGAAAGACACAAATATGGGTTTTTCGTTGAATACGGGTTTTGAGTTTGCAAAGGAAATTTTGCCTGCTTTTGATAGTTTTTGGCGGATACTGGGTTTAAGAATATGGGGATGAGTGTTTTTTTTTTTGTAGGACCTTTAGTATTGAAGGCTTGGCTTTGGCTTTGGGTTCATGCTTGGGGATTGTGTATTTCAAAGGAAAATCACGAGGTGAAAACTATATTGGGAAATATGGGCGGATTTGCAATATATAAGAAGCAAGATACGGGGTTTGAGTTCTTTGTTTTTCTGGTGTGTTTGGATATAACAGGGTTGGGTTGTGTGTGTTAGATATGGAGAGTTTTAGAAGAAATGGTTTAGTGTTTCGGAGACGGGCAGTTTTGTTGGATTTGCTGCTGATTCACGTTTGATAAAATTTCACTTGATTGTACAAGAGCTTGCTGTCTAGAGCGGGGGTAGCAGAATGTTGTTGTTGTTGCTGACGTGAATTTGATGCAGCTGTGAGATTGAGGGGGATCGACTTCAAGGTTTGTGGGATGTTGTAAGTTAATTCAACCTCTCATATGCAAGCATCAGGACTAGCAGATGATTGTCAGGAGTCCCATGGTAGGCCACCAAACTGTAGATACAAAAAATCTACTATTATAGAAATCAGGGTTGGATCTCGTGAGAGTGAGGCTACTGACAACGTTAGACCTACACACATGAAAGGACAAGCGTGAAGTTATAGAAAACCCTAGGGTGGTGTTTGCGTAAGCACTCCGACGCTCAAGTCAGCAAGGTTAAAAGAGATATTTAATAGAATTCGGGAAAGAAAATTTCCAGGAGCCTATCGGAGGCCAGGAACTCGGCACAAAGGTGTTAGAATTCTGGGAGCACAGAATTTTAGGAATAAGGAGGTTATTTGAGTAGTCGAGATTGAATATTGAGAGATCGAATAATGCGAGGGATCGAG